AGACGTTTGCTTTGGTTTGGTGTGGACTCCACCGAACAGCCACAGACTGCAGCTGCGGAGTCCGAGAAGCCGTGTCGGCTCTAGTCCCAGGCCGACGGTCCGAGTTGTCTGATGGGTCCTGCTCTTGCCCATCGGCCAGGCCCACGTGTCTCCCTTGCCGTTCCCCTGTCTCCCCACAACCAGAAACACCCGTGACTTGAAATAGCTGGAGCCGGACTGGCTCCTGCAGGACAAAGAACACAGCCACAGACCCAAAGGGAGAGAGAAGGGCCGAAGCCCAGGGCGCCACCGTGCGTGGCCAGGTCCAGAGCCCAGCTGCGCCTCCACACACTTCACACCAGCCAGTTCTTGCTGCGTCTCCTCCAGTAAAGTGCTCCCTTGTTGGGTTTTATTTTACTCTGTAAAAATAAGCCTTATTGTCAAACAGAATGAAATCCACAGACCAAACCTCAAAACCTCTGGGGCAACGAGATCCCCTAAATGGACAAAGTCACTGCTGACGGGACGGGCCGTTCAACTCATTGCTGCTGCCGCCTGTTTCTTGAGAACATGACTCCAATGAGGCTCATGGCTGCCAAGCCGGCTACTCCGATGTGAGTCACCACAATGGCATCCCGGACCTGCAGGAGACAGGGGAGGTCACACTCCGTCAGGAATCCGAGGACGGGCTGTACGTTCAAGAACATTCAGCTCAAGGAGACTCACGTGCCCCTCGGCCCACTTGACAAACTCAGGAGTCAACAAATATTGGCCGGGAAATGGGGAGAAAAGGACTAGATGGGGAAGGAGCCGCTGGATGGAGCCAGCCGGCCAGGGCTGTACATGGGCCCCAGGGCAACTCGATCCACTCTGTGGGTATTTAAAGCACCTAAATCCCCAGAGGGCGATTGTGGAAAGGACAAGAAGATGAAGGCAGGAGGGCTGAGATCCTGGCGGCCATCAGGGAGCCCTTGCAGCCAGTGTGAGGCGGCGCCGGAACGGCTCTCGAATGCTGACCATGTCACACCTGTGGCCCCCGGGAGAGCAAGGACCTCACGTGTGTCACTTGTCTTGTTCCTCGCTGCATCCCCCACCCAGTTCTGCCAGGCACAGGGGTGCTCTTTACGAGTCCTTAAAGAAATGACCCAACTTGGAGTAGTAGTGATGCTCTACTTGAAATGATTAGCCCTGCAGGTTCTGCGGTTCGGTGTATGGAGCAGAGACTCTAGAGAAGGACAGCTGGGGTTGGAATCCTGCCTCTGCCACTTGTTAGCTGTGTGTTTTGGGGACAACAAACGTGGAAGCCAGAAGGGGTGGGCGTGGAAGCTGTGCCCCAGATCTTCCATAAATGAATCCTTCAGCTCGTACATAAGCCTGTGGACCTTGAGCATCCCTTGCCTAAGTGCTCTCTGGGGCCTTAGGACACCTGTCCTGGTGCTGGCTTGGCCCACACTCTTCCTGACATCTCTGCGGGCATCAAGAGCTGCCCTTAGGGTGAATCCTAGAGGTGAAGGATCCTAGAGGGCCTGCAGAGGTCCTCCGTCCAACTCCTCCTCCTGCACATGGGGAAACTGAGGCCCAGGGAAGGAGTGACCTGTCCACAGACCCCAAGCGGTTCAGAAGCTGATTGAAGATTTGAGTTTAGACTTCCTGACTCCCAGCCACTGGGTCATGGTGATTCTCCCCTCTGGCTGCACAGCTTGGTCACCACCACCCCAAGGGGACCTCCAGGAGGAAGAGGGATCGTCTCAAACAGAGCCTTACCTGCCTGCTCTCCGGCTTACCATATCTCAGGCTAGTGACAAAGTGCTCACAGTTCCCGTGCAGAAGACTGTATTTCATCTCCTGACCAACCTTCTGCTTCGCACAGTAAATGATCTGGTTCACAGGTTGTGGTCTATACTTGTTGTCCAAAAGGTTGTTGACCTTATAGCGGCAGCCCGCCACCACGTCCCGCAGGAGCTCCCGTTTTACTACTCCTCTGTTGCTCAGAGCACAGAACACGCTGCTGGAACTAGCCCACGGGAACTCACCTGGAATCAAAGACACCACCATGGTCATCGGGAGCTGCAGGGGAAGGCGAGACAGGGAGGGAGAAGGGGCAGGACGAGAAAGAGAACCAAGGGAGTACACTATTGTGGGCTTGCGGTTTGTCTTTTCACAAATGTGATTGGGGCATTCATAGATTTTGTTCTTTTTACTGAACGAGCTGTGAATTTTTTTAAGTCAGTGAATGTCATGATTGCGTATGCAGTCATTGTATTCCATCACATGGATATAGATCATCTATCTGACCAAGCCCTATTATTGAACATGTTGGTTGTTCAAAGATTTTGCCATTTTAAACAGTGGTAGTCAAGTATTTAGTATTTGCTCAATTTTGTGCACTCAGACATTTCAGAAACAGATCAAATTTATTTGATCACACACTGTTTACTTTCCATATATGACTTCATCGTCTTTAACTTTGGAGGTAAATATTATCTCCATTTGATAATCCAAATATTGGTGTTGGGGAGGTCATCTAGAAAATGTGACCACCAGTGACCATGAGGTCGCCCCCAGCAATCAGAGGCTCCTCATCTCATCCCACCCTTGGAATGTGCATTCTACTTGCCTTCCGTGCCTCCAGACCTATGGGACTCCACTCGATTACTCAATGGGATATGGATGTATGGTCTGCTCAAGCAAGCTCAGGGAGTAACCAACTCAGGATTCCCTTGCTCAGCCCTTTCCTCTAATTGTTCTCATGATGGTAACAAATATTTTGAAAATAATATTTCCAGCAGTGCTTACTTGTAGAAGTCAGATGGATCACATAACCGTCTCCCACATAGATGGCCCAGTGCTCATAGCCAATGCGGAAAATCTGAATCAGGTCTCCAGGTTGGGGTTCTTCAAAAAACTGCAACACAAAAGCCCAAGATGGTGTAGGAAGCCTTCTAGGCAACAGTACAGTGCCCAGCTGGGGCCCTGAAGTTTGGCCTGGGGACCCCACTGGGTGCTTTTCATCACCTGGTGAGAGCCTGCAGTGGGAGGGAACTCCTGGCCCCTGTGGGGCCCTCATCCTGCTGTCACTTTCAGAGGTTCTGCACAACCAGGGGCTGGAAGCCTGGAGAAAAGGTCCTTGTGGGATGGGAGAGTGGAGATTTGTTCAGTGTGTGCATATTATTGTGTATGTATGTGCACACGCTCACGTTGTATGGGATGTGTGTGAGGGAGCACATGTGTGTATATGTACATGTGGTGCATGTGTGTCTGTGTGTTGTGTTCCCTGAAAATGCACATCAGTTGTGCTGTGTATGTTGGGTTTGCGTGTGGTTGTCGGATATACTCATGTGCACATCTGTTGTGTTGTGTTCTGTATGGGGATTTCGTGTATGTGTTGGGCATTGTTATGCACACATTAGTGTGTGTGTATATGTTGGGTTTGCATTTGTGTGTTGGGTGTACTCATGGGCACATCAGTGGATGTGTTTATGTTGGGTTTGCACGTGTGTGTTGGCCGTACTCATGTGCACACCGAGGCTGTGAGCATGCATGTGCAGGTGCTTTGTACACCTGCTGGAGAGCCTGCGGACATGACCACCTGCATGAAAACCCCTTTACTGAGCCTGGGAGCCCCAGACCCTCCCCAGCAATTGGGGAGGAAAGTCACCAGCTTCTCCACCCTTCACAGGTCCTCCTCACACCTCTTGACCCTCACTGTCCATGGCCACACCAGGTACCTACTCCTCCTCAGATTCTGTCCCCTCCAGCCCAAGGACACCCGCCCTTGGAGATGCCAACCTGAGAGACATTGGGAGACGGCATCCCCCGGGGACCTGAGCCTCTGGAGGGCTGGCAGCTTTTGACCCTGAGGGGGCTTGCTCCCAGCATGCACATGGAAGGCCTCTGTGGGCACTTTTCCAGAAGCCCCAGGGGAAGGAAGCATCACCCTATTTTCAGGGGGCAACTGAGGATCAGAGAGAGAGGGGCTTGGCCAAGAACACTCAGCTGGGCAATGCTGAGCTGCCTCTTCTCCCCCTGATTTGGCCCTGCCTCCCCCCCTCCACACCCATTTCCTGCTCTTCAGTGCCCCCACCCTAACCCCTGGGGCCCAGCATCTGATTTGAGAATGTTTCAATTTCGCTCCCTTTCTGTGCCTGCTCTCCGGAAACCACAAACCTATATCTCTCATTGCAGGCCACCTAATCAGAGACTTGGGGTCAGCTTTCCTTAGCCCTCTTTGTCATGCCAATATCCAACAGCCAATGCTGACCCCAGGAGTTTAGCCTGAATTCGTCACCTGGTCCACTTCCCACCCTCTGAATTCATTAGGGCAGTCTCCGGGCCTGCCCCTGAGATCTCACAGCCTTTTATTTATTTATTTATTTTTGATATGTTCGATAATCTCCACACCCAACATGGGGCTTGACTCACAACCCTGCGTTCAACAGTTGCATGCTCTTCTGACTTAGCCGGACAGGTGCCGGGGCCCTACATCTTCTACACATTCGCCCCCACTCCCACCAGGCCATGTGTGCCTGCTACCCCACACCCAGTCTCCCCAAGACCCACTGTGGCCTTCCCAAAGGGCACATCTGGCCATGACCTTCCCCTGGACTCAGGGCACGGGGCATGCACCGTGGGCAGCTCAAAGGCTCTCCAGCCAGCGCTTCCTCAGCCCTCCTCACCGTCCCTGCCCTCCGGCCCCAGGCTGACTGGCTTGCCCTTCTCCTCACCACAGAGCTGGCCCCTGCCTCTGATCCTCTGCACATCGGGCTGTCTCGGTCACAGTCACCTTCCCCACCCCTCCTTTCTTCTTCTCCCCTACACAGACATCCCTCTCTGAGCAGCTGCTCTCAGGGCCCAGCCTGGCTCAGCTGCCACCTCCCCCTGCATGGATCCTGTCCTGCTGGGATTCCCCGTGTCTGTCTGCACCTCCCTGTGGGCTCTGAGCTCCACTGGGGCAGGATCCTGTGTGCTGCCCGGCTCCTTCCTCCGCAGGATCCGGTGAAGGGCCTGGCCTGGAATGGGGGCGGAGGAAATCCACATGGAAGAGGGGCTGGAGGGTCAGCGCGGCCACAACCAGGGCCCAGCAACTCTCCTCCCTCAGCCAGGGCACAGCACGCCCAGGGATGATCTCCACTTTGGAATCAAACGGGGATTTTTCACTCTGAGGTTCAATGTCTAACTAAGATCAGGCCCAGACACCCTGCACAGTAGCTGGTGGCAATAAAATGTGACGCCTGGCCCCGCCTGGAGAAGGAGAGGCTGCCTAGGAAACAAAGGGCGGGTTTGTTTTTATTTTCTTCAGCAATCAGGCCCTCGGCCCACCCCAGGGGATCAGGTGGGTGCAGAGTAGGCTGCTCCTTCCTAGAATGGCCTCATTTCCTCGAATTGTCTGAGTTCACTTAGTTACCCTTCAGTGCATAGCAGCCACAGTGCCAGCCTGCCCCCGCCTGGACCGTGTGAATCTGCACATCCGGGCTGACAGGAAGGGAGATCAGAGTCAGAAGGTTGGAATAGAAGCATACTTACCAAGGCAGTAAAGATGCCAAGGAGGGAAGAGGAGAGAGCTGAGCCGGCACTGAACTCCTGCCCCAGCGAGGGAGACAGGCACATTGGGGATCCCCTCACTTCCCAAATCCTGGGACCCCCCTGGCCCACACACCAGATGCTTCCCAACTCTGGGGGGCAAGGATCCCACCCCAACCCAGCTCCTTCCCCGGGAGCCCCTGGGCCCCGAGCTGAGCCAGAGGACAGGGGAGGCTCACTAAACACAAAGCCCACACTCTCCTGCAGGAAAAGGGACTTTGAAACAACCAAGACTTTTCCATAACACCCTTCTACAGCCTTTCCAAACTCTGCAGTTCAGAGTGCCCAACACCAGGAACCGACACTGAGGCTTTTATGAGAGGGGGGTGGCCTACTGCTGGAGAACTGCAAATAGAAAGTTCCCGGGGGCTTACCTCAGCCATGGTGGAGTCTGCCGTTCTCCTGCGTGTGCACGGACATTTATACCAATGGTGACAGTTTTGCTTTCACTTTCCTTTAGACACTCTTTAATTACTACTACATAGGGAACTTTCCTTTTGAAAGTAGACTCCACACCCAGCATGGGTCCCAAAGCGGGGCTCAAACGCCAACCCTGACGTCAGACCTGATCTGAGGTCAAGAGTCACACATGTAAGAGTGAGCCACGCAGGTGAGCGTCCAGGGGCTCCTTCCTCCAGCAGCAGAGTAGGCTGGATGAGGGGCTCTGTGCCTCGTTGGTGAACACATGTTTCATAAACGCCGTGGTGTGATGAAATCAGTCTGAGGTTTGCTTCATTATCCGCTGAGGGTGAGGCCTGGGGAGGAGACTCACACGAAGACATGCAGACATTTCCATGGTTACCATTAGGTTCCAATTGAAACCCAAGAAGTGCGCAGGAAGGTGACAGCTCAGCTGATTTGCCACAGTGGGGGCCAGGCTCTGGCTCACAGAGATGGTCCTGGGGCCACAGCAGGCCCCTTCGCAGGTGCCGGCCCCCTTCCTCTCCCCTACAGGGTGGGCCCTCAGCACAGACAGGGGGTCTGGCCAGGTAAGGGGTGGGGGTGGAGGGACAGAGCCCTCTTGCTTCCCCCTCACTGCTCCTGATGCCTTCGAATGAAATGGACATTCCAGACATGAAAAAAATAAATACGAGAGTTGGAATCCAATCTTTTCTTTTCCAACTAGCAGCGATAGGTAAGGGAATCAGATCTCACGAGAGATGGGAGCTCCCGCCTGGAATTCCAGTCAAGGAATGTTTCCTGAGTCAAGACCCAGGCTCCCAGCAGCTCTCGAGGGGCCAAGATGCGTGCTGGTCCACCCCCTCCCC